CCCCCCCCCGCACTGAAATGGACGGGACAGAAGTGGAAGGTGGTTCTTAAAGAGACAGAGGCCAATTTCAAGGCGTTAAAGAGGAAGTGATGAGAAGATAAGTTTATTTTCTATTTAAACATAAAAACACCATTTTAATAACAACTAAAGGTGACATAGATACTTTATCATTGTATAGTTTTTAAATGTATGCAAGAGAAACACATAATATTGCCCCTTTAAGGCTTGACCACCAGGAACTACCTGGTGAGTGCCACCTTCCCAGGCCTGGGTCTTGGGGGATTTCCTGGTTTCCCCCTCTCTGGTGAAGTGTCCTGGCAAAGTTTTTATTCTGACCCTCCCCAGAGGTCAGTTTGCCATGGGAGACAACATAGCCCCAAGATCACAGCCTATGAACTTGTTCAAACACCTCCACCAAGTTAAGGTGGAGGGGGCTGGGGATTTGCCTTGAGCGAGAACAAGAGAACAGGTATCTCTGCGTTTTGTTCACGAGGGGTTGCACAAAGAGAGCGGGAGGTGGATTGACAGAATTAGACCTTGACCACAGTAATGAGGATATTGCTCCAGTGTATCATATGATGGATGTGATAAAAAGCACCGCCTATGATTATAAGATATAGACCATGACCAAAAGAGCAAAATCTCATGGTACAAACAGCTGAAAGGGACTTCTACCATAGGATGGTTGGGTTCAGCCTCAGAGATGAGGTGAGGAGCTCAGTCTTGCATATTGCTTAGACTAGAGTCGATGCCCTTACTCATCAATGTCAGCTGAGGTGGTTCACAATTCTTTACTTCCTGGAGGTTTTCAGTCACATCCCACTGGACTTGGATTTACCAAAAGTCCCTGGGGAGAGGAATGTCTTAAGTTTTCCCCCTGGACCTTTTGGCCCTGCAACCTGATGATGGATGGATGGATGGATGGATGGATGGATGGATGGATGGATGGATGGATGGATGGATGGATGGATGGATGGATGGATGGAAAGTGAGAAACATGTCAATGAAATACAATTCGGTCAGCAAAAGTCTAAAGGATGTCGAACAGATTATAAATATTGAATTTATTTTTTGTGGTGGCGGTGTGGTCACATCTGGAAATTTCCTTTAGAAAGTCATTTTCTTGTTGCATTTTGAATTTTTTTAACATTTTAAATGTAAATCTACCTCCTGCAGCAGCTTGATATCTCAGACACAAACATAACCACCCATAGATGCTCAGAGACCCACAGCAGACTAAAGGCTGTGTTGGATATGATTTTACATCACCTGTACACAGTTTAACACACTGTGCCAACAGGATTTTTATGCAGCCGCTCTCCAGCAGGTCAGGATTCAAACTGCTTTGTGTCAGCACTTTCCGAACATTTCTAAATAGCTGGAATGTCAGTGTTTGCAGGAAATATGAAACCTCTGTGGTCTCACAGCCACACGAGTGCTTTAAAGGAGAAAGTGAAACAGACAGTTGATAAGATGCATTGCAGGGGCAAAAAAAGTATATCATGAATTCCGTATACTGTATTACCTTATCCTAGCTGCTATACTGTATGTGTCCTGGGTTTTTATCATCATACAATCCCTTCTTTTTCTAGAAACTATCATCTTACTGTGCAGCCAGTTACCAGAAAGCAGACAGGCAGAAGCATCTGGTGTCAGAGGAGGTTACAGCAGCTGATGCAATGATTCATCTGCATGGTTTAATGATCACTATAAATAACTCAGTGTATCTGCATGGGGATGCGTATTTGCACACAGAAACCTTGGAGAAATGAGAATGATCCAGCATGTTTGCAACTCTCTGTGATTTCACAGGCACAGAAATGATTTACTTCCGTCTCGTTGAATGATAAGATCTGATTGGCTCTCCCACGGAGGAAACAGGAAAATATATGCAAATGAGCTGCTGACAAAGTGGCTGATGGAAGATAAATGTGTGTGTGTGTGTGTGTGTGTGTGTGTGTGTGTGTGTGTGTGTGTGTGTGTGTGTGTGTGT